TTTGCAATTACACTTATATGAACCCACAGTATTATTGCAAATCTGATCACAAAGAACTAAACTGTGTGAGCATTCATCATCATCTGAAATTAAAATCAGTAAAACATAGAATTGATACTACTTGTGTAAGCTCTAACCTATGCAAGTGTGATTGTCACTTATAAGAGTATACCCAGTATAGCAACTACAGTAGTAGCTACTATCAGTATTAGTGCATTGTTGATTGCAGTTATCAGTATCAAGTTCACATTCATCAATATCTACATAAAAGTAATGATAATTATCCTTAAATAAAAAATATACCTGAACAGAAAATGCTTCCATTGTAGCCAGGATTACAAGTACAGTAGTAGCTTCCATTTGTATTAGTACAAACATGTTGACAACCTCCATTGTTAGTAAGACACTCATTAATATCTATAAATTATAATTTACAGTGAAACCTGTCCTAAAGGTCACCTGAATAATGAGGCCACCTCTCTATTACAGCCATAAGCCAAAATCCCGTACTAAATGGCTGTATTACAGAGGGTGATCTGTAATGCAGCCACCTGCATAATCAGGCCATTTAAAACTGGCCCAAGGGTGACCAGATTAAGCAGGTTTCACTGTGTGTTGAATATCTCTATAGGTAAAAACATACCAGTACAGTCTGTAGTGCTACCATCAATGAAACCATATCCATCATAACATTCACAATTAAAACTTCCAGGAGTATTAATGCAGGTTTGAGAACAGCCACCATTATTATCCTCACACTCATTGATGTCTGTAAATAAATCAATGTCATGTGCATTGTACTAATGTATTATACCAGAGCAATTCTCAGCAGCAACTGTCAAATTATAATACCCAATCTTACAGCTACAGTAGTAACTACCCATAGTGTTGGTACAGGTTTGATTACAGCCTCCATTATTGTAATTGCACTCATTAATATCTAGGACAGTACATGCATAAATGCACTATCACTGAATCAACAAACCTGAGCAATTGTGTTCA